TGACGAATCGAGTTGTGGTGAATTTGAACGATGAAGAGTTTAATGCTGAGGATTTGAAAGATTTTGGATATTGATTTGATGTTTGATGAAAATGTTAAGAGACATTGAAAAGTACAAGGCTGACGAATCGAGTTGTGGTGAATTTGAACGATGAAGAGTTTAATGCTGAGGATTCGAATGATTTTGGATATCAATTTGATGTTTGATGAAAATGTTAGAGACAGACATTGAAAACAATGGTGGCGAGTTGTGGTAAATTTGAACGATGACGATTTGGACGATGAAGATTCTGATACAGATAATTTTAGCCCTGGTTGACTCAACTGCTGACGAGGAACACTGGAAACTATGACTCGATTCAAACGATGACGACTCTGATCCTTTTTGATAAATCGAACCTAGACAATTCTAACTCTAAATAAAGAAATTGGAACTCTGATGCTTTGGAACCATAAAGATTTAAAATCTGAAGGTATACTGGATATTTGATGTATAATAGTTCAACTCAAACTCTAAATAATCGAATTGGAACCCTGAAGATTTGCAACCATAAACATTCAAACTCTTAAGTTGCACATCACAAATATCCATCCTCATCGCGATTACCAATAATTAATCAATCACACATGTTGACCAAAAATGATTATATTTGGCAAAATTCAAAATAACAATCGTCGATCATCGTCCGTACATCCTCAAGAGAAGTCACGTTTTTTGTCAGAACGGGTTAGACGCCGAAGAAGACGCAAGTCGTGCTTCTGGCCCGCCAATTAACGCTTATGAAAGATAATCGTGGGGACTCGTTAATTCGCGCGGAAACCACCTGTCGCCGTATCAAAACGCGTTTCTTGTGCTGCAACCTGGTAAAGCGACATGTACACCGGTCCTCTTCAACTTTGATACAGAGTATGGCTACGTTGCTTATCGATCGTTCGAGACAAATAACGCTTGATTAATTAAGTAAACCTTACTTATAATATGAATTAACCTGATCGATGAAATTAATTCGTACGTAATGTGGTTGAGATTGATTGATTATTGCATTGATCAAAAAGTTGATTTTGTTAGATGTGTCGGATATGATTAACATTTTCTTATGCATTTTATTCTTTTGCGAATCTGATATAAATTGATGTCGAGATAAAGCTGTTATTTTAATATGGTTCGGTAATTAAGTCTAACGAGTCTGAATTAATCCGATGGAGGAAAATTACTTCACGTGGATTGATTAATGCGTTGATCAAATGTTATGTCCATTTTATCAGAGATTTATTTGATTTGTATCAGATATGATTAACATTTCATTAATGATTTTATTATTTCTCTTTGCGAGTGTAATATAAATTGAACGAGTTTGATTTATATATTTGATATATTTATTCAATAAATTTAATGACTAATATTTCTCAACGAAGTTAAGATGATGTAAGTAATGTGAGATGAAGTAAAGTATTTCTTCATGAAGTTAATTAAGAAGTTTCTCATGAATTTAAAAAAAAATATTTCCAACCACAAGTTTTTAACCACAAATTACAAACTGTCGAATTCATAAATCCGAGGCTTGCGAAACCAGCACGTAACATCAATGTATCATAAAATTTTATAAGAGATTATGTATCTTTTAATTACACGATACCTCGAACATAAATGAACTCGAAACTTCCTCGTTCAACAAACACGAAAAAGGAACAAGTATCGTATAACTGTCCGGTCTCGGCCGGAACGCGTCTCAAACGTGAAACGTGTCGTCGCGCGAAGAAACACGCGTGAATTGATTCGAGATCGGAATTTTTTCGAGTTAAGAATCTTTCTTTCTTCGTCCAGCTCTCGGTTTTCGGTGCACGGGCCACTGCGTCCGCGAAATCGCCACGACGAACAAGCGGACGAAAGGGAATCGAAACCGACAGTTTTCGTCGGTGATACTACAAGAGCGGTATTTATAATTGAAAAAGCTGAAAAATGAAAATTGAAAGTGGACGTTCGACGCTCTCTTACACGTGGCAACCAAAGTGTAACCATCACCGTGATCGATAATGTGTTCCTTAATGAAACGTCCACATGGATCAGGTCAGAAACGTGCAACAATCTTCCATGCTTGCCAAAATTTAATTTCTCCGCTCTCGATTATTTTATTTAATTACCTCGAGATGAAGTCTATAACTAATGAAAGTTCTCAAAAAATATTGCTGTCCTCAATATAGTAGCAGCGCAACATTCCTCCATGTTTGCCAAAATTTTTCTTCGCTCTCGATTATTTTATTTAATTGTTACTTCAAGATGAAGTCGTCTATAACTATAGAAAGTTCTCAAAACATATTGCTGTCCTCAATATAGTAGCAGTGCAACAATCCTCCATGTTTGCCAAAATTTTTCTTCGCTCAAGATTATTTTATTTAATTATTACTTCAAGATGAAGTCGTCTATAACTATAGAAAGTCCTCCAAAATATTGCTGTCCTCAATAAATATAGTCCCCAATAAAAATAGTCCTCGATGAAAAAAGAAGTTCGCAGTTTACAGCAAAAATGGTTGCGTTCTGTCGAATCATCATGAAAATCAAGTGGAAACCGTAAGAACGGGATGTTTCACGGGACATCCGGTCTGGACTCTTCCCTCGACTCGTTAAAGGAGCCTCTTCCTGAACGGTGGGCTCGTTGATAAAATCAGGCCACTTTCACTGCAAAACGGTTAATTTACGAGCAAAACCGGCGTGCAGCGTGACCAGCAACGAGAGAACGGCAACAAACGAAAGGAACGATTCAGGACGATGACGAGGAGAGAAACAAGGAGGTCGACATTCGCTTTCTTCTCGCTCATCGGGCTAATTGACCGCATCAACATCCTGACGACAAAGTTTCACGTATTTTCGATTTAACTCTTTGGCTAACACCTTTAGGTTACTCTGATATTTGAATTGCTGATCGAAATTATTCGGTTCTTGCAGTATCGTAAGATTGTTAGAAAAACCATGAAGAGATTTCGTAATGTACAATGAGTTACAGCTGTTTTTGTGAAAATTGCATTAAGTTTATGAAAGACTATTTGGTAATTCTGACACATTCACTTGCTGAAGTTATTCACGCAAGTTGGAATAGCACTGAGTTTATTTAATCAGGTTACAATTATTAAGTATTAGGAAAAAGTAGGAGCATTGTACTTCGTCGTTCAAATATTTCCAATATCCATGTACCACAAATTTGTATTACGTATGTACCAACTTCTTTGTAATTATCAGTTAACGTCAAAGATATGACCTCGTACATCACATCGCATACGTGTCCGTACCTTTTTCCGCTACTACTCCGCTAATTAAAAAGGTATCAACTTCACCGTGGCAGAATAAAGGTGCAGATTTCTCTTCAAGGTGCATACAAGCTCATAAAGCTAAGAGCAAGCTATTGAACCTCGAAGGTCGTATCAAATGCAACGACCCGAAGGTGAGGCCAATGCAATGTCACGTTGCCATTCTAATTAACAGTAAACAAGGAAAATTAAAGACGTTGCAACCCGTTTTTCCAGAAGGTGGGTGAAAATGGAGGGTCAAGAACGAGGTCGTGGCCGACAAAACGTCCCGTGTAACAGTGCCATTACGCCGATCGCGGGATATATTATTTTCGAACGGCGGTAGCTGGAACGCGCTGAGAGCAATTAACTTCTCTCTCTCGCGGTCGGCTACGAAGGCCACTCGCTATTATTTATTTTCCCTCGCCAAGGTCCTCTAGTTGCACGGGCGACGTGCTTGCCACGGCTAATGCACGCGAGAAACGAAACGAAATTGAACCTCTTTCTCGGAGTAAACGTACCCGCCCGCTTCTGCAATCATCCTCCCACGCGCTCACACGCTCGTTTCCGTTTAAGCCGTTTGACTTCTGCTCCATTTTATGACGGCTGCTGTTCACTGGTTTCATCGCTGATTTCTTTCGTTGGGATGTGTGCGAGCTGAATGCGATTTCATTGAAACAGATGTGGTACAATGTGGTGCATAAAGGCAGCCATTTTGTATTCGGCATTTCACGGTGCACTTTTATGGATATTTACTACAAGGTTCGAGCTTTGAATTAGAATCATTTAAACACCATTTTGTTGTTGTTTTCTGTCATGAAATTAGGATGGTTCTTCGGGTTTCGAATTTGGATATTTCATGCAGTATATTGTTATTCATTTTAAAGGGTGAACGGACATTCTATGTTGAGAATTGTAATGGTGCATGTAGGTAGGCGTATTCATTATGGTTCAAGCTTTAAATCGATGTATTACAAGTGCTATTTTATAAAACTTTTCTGTCATGAATTTGTGATGGAATCTCTATCTTCCGAATTTTTATATTTGTTGCTATATACCAACCTCATCTACTAAATATAGTAACTAATTATTTTGTATTGAGAATTGTAACGGTGCATTTATATAGGCGTATTCGTTATGGTTCAAGCTTTAAATTGATGTAACACAAGTGCAATTTCATAATACTTTTCTGTCATGAATTTGTGACGGAATCTCTATCTTCCGAATTTTTATATTTGTTGCTATATACCAACCTCATCTACTAAATATAGTAACTAATTATTTTGTATTGAGAATTGTAACGGTGCATTTATATAGGCGTATTCGTTATGGTTCAAGCTTTAAATTGATGTAACACAAGTGCCATTTTATATTACTTTTCTGTCATGAATTTGTGACGGAATCTCTATCTTCCGAATTTTTATATTTGTTGCTATATACCAACCTCATCTACTAAATATAGTAACTAATTATTTTGTATTGAGAACCATAATGGTGCACCTATACAGGTGTTTTTGTTATGGTTCAAGCTTTAAATTGATGTAACACAAGTGCCATTTCATAATACTTTTCTGTCATGAATTTATGATAGAATCTTTATCAAGTTTGAATATTTGTAATTTATTTTATATAGGGATTTATAGACACTTTCGTTTTAAAACAGCGTAACATAATGTCTGATGATGAATCACGTAGATAGAATGTTTGTTCTGATTTCAGGAGATAGTATGTTCAAACGGTTATCAAAATCGAGGCGCCACAGCGCCGACGACGTCGCCCTTGCGTTGTCCAGCCCGACGACCCTGGACGAGCCACCTGGGACGTCGACGTCGCGGGACAACTGTCCAGGTGTCAATTCCGCCGCCCTGCTGAGGGTTTCGAGGACGAAGTACAGCAGAAGGAGCTGCGGAGATGCGAGCGCTGTGCAGGCTTTGCTCGCCACGAAGCAGGAGCAGGAGCAGGACGTGGCCGAAGCTGATTATCAAATGGTCACGGCCGTGCCTGCATTCATCGTCGAACATGAGCCCGAGAAACAACGAGGTAACCTATTTACACCAATTAACCCTTCCACTGCACTTGTGCATCTTTGATATACTCAAATGTTTGCGATTGTAAAATATTGACAGTTGTAATACTTTACTTGTCAAATATTGATACTTCTAATATATTATTTATCAAAAATTGATACTTGTAAAATAGTTGACTTGTCAAATATTAAAACTTGCAAATATTTTATTTGTCAAAAATTCATATTTGTAAAATAGTGTACTTGTTAAATATTAGCACTTATAATATTTTGTTTGTCAAAAGATAGTTACTGATAAACGCCTATTTTTGTAAATAGACCTTCGAATAATCTGGATCAATTTTTCTGTTAATATTTGCTGGAATGTCTTCCTGTTAACTCACTGACGGCTACACGTCTCGTCCGATTCAAATTAGCACGTCTGCCTAGAGGTTAATGTACTTCGAATTAGATTCCATTCCGCGTTATGACTATTAATGGAACGGATCAAGGCGACCGTAATTGTCTGTTAATTGTACTATTTAAAGGATAGATGCTATACCATTCTAAACTGTCACTTCCGATGTCAATCATTACCGATTTCCACTTAATTTTTCAAATATACTCTAAACGTTGGAAACATTAAATCGACTAGTTGGCAACAAATCATATTTAGAATTATGGAAGTTTGCTATTTTGCAATTTTGGAAGTCTGGAATTTTTTGAAGTTTTGGAATTCTGGAATTTTTGTAATTCTAGAATTTTGTAGAATTTCTGGAATTTTTGGAATTTGAGAATTTTTAGAATTCTAGAATTTTGTAGAATTTCTGAATTCTTGGAATTCTGGAATTTTTGAAATTTTTGGAATTCTGGAATTTTGGAATTTTGGAATTTGGGAATTTTGGAATTTTGGAATTTTGGAATTTAGAAATTTGGGAATTTTTGGAATTCTAGAATTTTGTAGAATTTTTGGAATTTTTGGAATTCTTCAATTTTTTGAATTTATGAAATTTGGGGAATTCTGCAATGTTTTGAATTTATGAAATTTTTGGAATTCTGGAAATTTTAGAATTTGTACAATTTTGGAAATTTTGAAACTTCAGAATGTAGTAATTGTTGAATTTTATGAATCTATTAATAATACATGACATTCACTTACTTTTCCTTTACACAAAATACGTGACACAATATGCAAAGCATATATTTGTAAAAATATCCATAATCCAACTTATTTCAATAAAAACAGTAAAACATCGATATAAAATATCGAAGAAACCAGTAAGAACAGAACATAACCTGAAACTAAATTTCAAAGTTCAAGGAACGCATCAAGGGTTCAGAGATCAAAAATCCCCTTAATAACATTCCTTGATACCTTATGGTTGTTAACTATCCTGCAATAAGCAAATTCGCGCCAGAGGCTGCTTCATTTCGCTCACCGTTTTTTCTTCCTTTCGTAATTACCGTCCAACATGTATCTACACGCAAATAGCGTGATATAATCGATCGTAAGACGCGTAAAAAATTCTCGAAAGAGTGGCCGTAATTTTGTCAGCAATCAAATAAATTGCCGTTCACGTTCACCGGTGGATACAAGTAGCTGAAGACGTGATTCATTGCATCTGACTCTGCTCCATAATTATCCACGGGGACAAATAGATATCATCGATTTCATCCTACTACGGAACGTTTATAGAAGTCAAACTTTAATTACTCTTTAAAAAAACAACATTTATTACGGAAATTAATTGGTTCAATTTACTCGAATCAATGGTTATGTAAGGTAAACGATTATTTAAGAAATATCATAAATTGCGTAGATTTTTAGGAAACTTTTATTGAACTTTTAAAAAGGTGACATAAGTAACAACACTGTAAAAAACAACACTATAAATCATGAAAATTAGTAGAATTAATGTCATGTGTTCTTAGAAGCAAATGTTTACAAAATACAAGTTTAATGAATTTAAAAAAATAATAACATAAATTGTAAAAATTAACAGATTGAATATCATGTGTTCATAGAAGTCAATATTTACAAAAAAACAAGTTTAATAAATCTTCAAAAAAAAAATAGTATAAATCACAAAAATAAGCAGATTGACAACCATGTGTTAAGTCAATATTTAGAACCTAACGATCATTTAAGAAACAATAAATAAAAAAGTAAATAAATTAACCATAAATAATAAAGTTTTACAAATCGAATGTTTGTGGCTCACGTATCGAGGTGCTCGTTAAAATGTCACCTACGACTGAACTGTTGGAAAGTGTTATCGATTCAGCGATGATCGTGGCGTTTTATGCAGCAAACAATGATTCTAGGGTCCCCGTAACGGGCTGTGAAAGAGTACAGTTACCCTTTTGGTCGTTACGGTACAGACTAGGCTTCGATCGGTAACAAAAGTGTCTCATTTACAAAATCATTGAGGCATTCGACGCACGTTCGAACCAGAAAACGAAGCACGTTACGTGAGTACGCGTCGATGGGGAAAAAAGAGAGGAACGTGCACGATTTTCACATTTAAATGCGATCAGAGGTGTCGCATGGTTCGATTCAACCGCGTGCAACGTGCTTTTCTGCGGACAACAGGATTGGTAATATTTATGAGAAAGTGGCGAATTTGAATATTTCAACATTTGAATAACAAATTTTGGGTAATGCAGGTTGAGGTCGAGGATGCGTATTACTTCCTTTACATATATCTACCCTTATACTCATGTAACGTATATGTACAAAATTTGTAATCTTCTGAATTTGATATCTTTTGAGTTTGGAATGTTCCGAATTTGGAATGTTCTGAATTTGATATCTTTTGAGTTTGGAATGTTCCGAATTTGGAATGTTCTGAATTTGGAATCTTCCAAATTTGAAATCTTCCGAATTTGCAATCTTTCGAATTTGCTATCGTCCGAATTTACAATCCCCAAATTTGAAATTTTCCGAATTTGGAATCTCCCGAATTTGCAATCTCCCGAATTTGGAATGTTCCGAATTTGCAATCTCCCGAATTTGGAATCTTCCGAATTTGCTATCGTCCGAATTTGCAATCCCCCAAATTTGGAATCTTCCGAATTTGCAATCTTCCGAATTTGGAATCTTCCGAATTTGCAATCCCCCGAATTAGGAATCTTCCGAATTTGGAATCTCCCGAATTTGCAATCTCCCGAATTTGCAATCTTTCGAATTTGCTATCGTCCGAATTTGCAATCTCCCGAATTTGCAATCTTCCGAATTTGCTATAGTCCGTATTTGGAATTCCCCCGAATTTGGAATCTTCCGAATTTGGAATCTACCGAATTTGAAATCTTCCGAATTTGCAATCTCCCGAATTCGCTATCTTCCGAATTTGGAATCTTCCGAATTTGCAATCTTCCGAATTTGCAATCTCCCGAATTCGCTATCTTCCGAATTTGTTAAACTTGAAATCTTCCGAATATCCAAAAACACATGTGATCAGCCTCCCGAATTTGCAATCTCCTGAATTTGCAATCTTCCGAATTTGCAATATTCCAACTTTGAAATCTCCCGAATTTTCAATCCCCCAGAATTTGCAATCCCCCGAATTTGCAATCTCCCCACTTCCAAATCTCCCAAATTCCCATTCTCTGCGTATGCGTCCATTTTCCTATTCCAACCAATGGCAGCCATATCTCTTCTAACCACGCCCCTCACGCGCCAGCTCACAGATTGCCATCGGTACACTTTCAAGCACCCTTCGCACTTCATTATGCATCATTCTCCCTCTAAAAACCTCATTATAAAAGAACCTAAAACTAAAAGTGAAAGTCGCACGTGAAATTATGAATAGTTTCATGCGAAATTCATTTAAAAATATTTCTAACTTTCTCAGTGAAAGAAGAACGAGAGATAGTATCATTGTCACGTGGCGGTATTCACTCGAGCGTAGGACAACGCTTCCTGATGTGGCGAGTCTAAATACTCCCGAAGAGTATTGCATGCTCTGATGGCTTCGGTGTCCTTTGCGAACTACATAACTGTTGCTTGCTGTTGCTCCGCACGTTCGGTTTTATGCTCGGACTTCTTTCTGGAATAACGTTGCTAACATTAGAACTTCGCATCCTTTTACTAATCGCTTCTCGGTTCGTTTGAACGCGGTGTACACAGACGGTACGGAGGTGCAACATTTTCTGGGGTGTAATTAACGATTTTTGTTGTTTTGGCGGAGTGTGCTTGTTATGAGCACATGAGAACGTATGAGGATGGTACAGGTCGGTAGGAGAAATAAATATATCTGTTTAGGGATGTTTAGGACTCATTAGAATTCAGAGTATGGTTGGATAAAATGCTTTTTTGGAATTTGAACAAATTTTAAGTAAATCGTATGCAATTTTAAAAAATCTTTAAGTGTTTGAAATTTTAAGAAGTCCTATAAAATCATAAGAAATCCTATGAAATTCTGAAACATTTTTAAAAATCATACAAAGTTCTAAAAAGCCTACAAGAACCCTATGAAATCCTAAAAGATTCTTAAAATTCCTACAAAGTCTCAAAAAATCTTAAAAATCCCAAGTCCTTAAAAAAGGTTAATAAACCTTAGAGATTACTAACAAGTTCCTCTAAAACGCAAGGCAACTAAATGAATCCCACCAAATCTAGAACACTTCCTAAAGCTCAACAGAGTACTTAAGAAACTCTAGAAGTTCTACGGAATCCTAAGAAACTCAAACGAAACGTAAGAAATTGAATTCCGACTTCCTAGAAAATCAAACGCTCTAAATCTCTAAATAATTTTAAAAATCTCTAAATAACTCCTGTGCTAACTGCCTTGTGTGAACAGTGTTAAAACATTCAACCAAATGCATCACAATGCAGAGATCGCGCCTTACTCCTTAATCACCCGCTCTATTCTCACCCGTCCTATTCTCACCCGCCCTATTACCGCCTACCCTATTATCACCCGCCCTACTATTCCCCGCGCGTTACAAATTTAACCCCAAACCTCAGCAACATTACTCCATCATTCCTACTTATATACACAATCGAAATCATGAAATATCGCAACAAAAAAGCAACGTAACCATTCGACTGGTAGACGGCTTCAAAATCCAGTTGAAACAGCCTCGTCGGAAGTTTGCTTTAATAGGCCACGGTTCTGCACGGTGTCACGGTGTCTTCTTCTGGAATTAAATTGCGGATTGTAACGTGTCACCCGTGCCTCGTAGCTGTTCTCTGGATACAGTTCTTCACCGGTTACCGGCGACGTCGCGTTGTGTAACTGTTTTTCCGTCGCCTGCGTCGCGACGCCGAACGTTCAAAAGACGATTCAGCGGGAAACGCGAAACCGCGGAGTTAGATTCCATTCAACTGGAAATTTCGTTTCTGCTGATATGAACCTGACTGCGCCGAGCTACCGGCTTGATAACGCTCTATACGGATCGTTTCAATGTTTGCAGTTTTCTTTCAAATTGAACGGTTGCTTCGCGTTTCTGAGGCTGATTGAAAATTCTCTTTTTATCGAACGGTAAAGTCACATTCTGATGTTACTGACTCAGTAACTTTTTTTTTAATAACTGGAGTTAGCAGTTATTTTTGTTAGTTATTATTAAACAACTTAGAAGTTTATTATGTAATTTGAATTAGATAGTTGTGTAATTTAATAGGTGGTTCAAGATTGAACTTGTGGAGCACATTTTTAGATTTGATTGAAAATTCTCAACCTTTGAAAGGAACAGTAAAATCTCATTTTGATATTACTTTGAGCAGTTCATTTTTTTTAATTGTAATAGTACTGTAATATTTATTAGCAGTTATGAGACAACTTAGTAGTTTATGTAATTTAAATGAAATAGTTATATAATTTTAGGGGTGGTTTGAAATTTAACGTTTAGATCATGTTTTTAAAGCTGCTTGAAAATTGACCATCCTTAAAAAAGAAGTCAAATCTGATTTTGATATTTTAGGTAGGTTTCAATAATTGTATCAGTTTCATACGTTTACAATAATTATTAACCAATTTTGATTATAAAATAATGTTCCCATACTATTTATTTATACAACATTATATAGGTAGGTTTTAATAATTGTACTAGTTTCATACGTTTACAATAATTGTTAACCAATTTCAATTATTAAAATAATATTCATATACTCTTTATTTATACAACATTATACAGGTAGGTTGCAATAATTGTACCAGTTTCATACGTTTACAATAATCATTAATCAGTTTCATTTATAAAATAATGTTCATATACAAATTTCTACAAAATTATATAAACGTAAATATTTAATCAATCATACAATAAAGAATACGTGGTTCATTAATCAAAATAATTTCCATTTTCCCTGAAACGTTCATTATCATCAGCTTATCAGGTACGTGGTATTATCTCGATGAGGCCGGATGCACGTGACACGATTAATTAATTAAAATGCATTGTCATTACGTGCTCCAGGCTAATGGAGAACACGTTCTCCAACTCACGTGACGTACATCCAGCAAAAAATGTATGGATTAATAATTTTGAAACAATTTATCTTCAAGAAATTTTAATAGATTGTTCGTATACGTATACGGTCCCTTTGTCTCGCTATTATCAAACAAGAATAACCATAGTCAATGTAATTGTAATGATGGTCCGTTCTGTGCACAGTTGATTAATTAAGGAACTAATTAATCAAGGATAAAGCGACGACACCACACGTCATCGCGATCGAACCGTGTACGATAGATGCACGCGTAAAACACATGCAAGCTTTGATTGTGCATCGGATGCACGGATGCAACTCGTTACCTTAATGAGAGTATAAGGCATCGCGCTTGTCACGCTGCATTCGGCTTATAATGAATTTTCCTGCTTTATACGACAAGATTGATTCGAAGAATTACTTGTCGCGTTGCGCGCCGTTCGTTCCGAGGCTTTTATCTTTCAATTTGCATCACGGTACAAATGCATCGCGATGCATCATAATGCAAGTCAATCTTCATCCTAGCTACGCTAAACCGGAGACTTCTCTCTCCTTCAGAGGGTATTTCAGAAAATGATTAAATTGCGGCACATCAACAATTGCATTGTCATTTTGCGATGGACTTCAGTTTAATTGCATACAAAATAAAATAGGTATAGCTTGAGTATAGTTCAGTCTGTGTTAAAAATATTAACGTAAACTTTACACTAGTTTTCTTCAGCTTTAATTTGATATCTCATAAGTGTCATTTTGTGATACTTTTATGTCATGAATTCGTATTAGACTTTCCGAAATCAATTGTTAAATACCATCTCTTCATTTTCATTTTTTAATTTTTAAATCAGCTCAAGTTAGGGATAACAACGGGGCGTTAATATGGTTATTTTTAGCAGGTCTTAAGCTTTAATTTGATGTGTTACAAGTGCAGTTTGGTGATACTTTTATGTCATGAAATCACGTTCGAATTTTCATGTTTCAAAATTAGCTACTTGATATACAGCAAACTGTTAAGTTGTCTTCAATTAAAAAATTAGTTTACATTCAGAATATTACTGGTGCATCTATATAGCTATTTTTAAGAAGTCTCAACCTTTAATTTGATATACCATAAGTGTCATTTGGTGATACTTTTATGTCATGAAATCACGTTCGAATTTTCATGTTTCAAAATTAGCTACTTGATATACAGCAAACTGTTAAGTTGTCTTCAATTAAAAAATTAGTTTACATTCAGAATATTACTGGTGCATCTATACAGCTATTTTTAAGAAGTCTCAACCTTTAATTTGATATACCATAAGTGTCATTTGGTGATACTTTTATGTCATGAAATCACGTTCGAATTTTCATGTCTCAAAATTAGCTGCTTGATATACAGCAAACTGTTAAGTTGTCTTCAATTAAAAAATTAGTTTACATTCAGAATAGTACTGGGGCATCTATACAGCTATTTTTAAGAAGTCTCAACCTTTAATTTGATATACCGTAAGTGTCATTTGGTGATACTTTTATGTCATGAAATCATACAGTTATGTTTCTAAGTTAAGTATTTCAAACGACTACTATAATTAGATATCCTATACGTACAATTTCTGTAATGAAATCACGTCAGACTTTCTATATTTCAAAATCGACCATCTGACATACAATTATCGTTGAATCGGCCGTCACGTCGAAGCAACGATGACACGTGCGGTCATTAAAGAAATCGTACGGCAACGGGTTAAGGAGGCCATATTGCGAGCCAGTAGTCCGTTTGTCGCTCGCAGTGCCGCGTGCGTTATCGCAAAACACGTGTTCCCGATACCTGAGCAGCCTGACAATCGTTCGCCATCGTATAGGAGCGAATGGCCCGGCCCCGTTAACCGGGGTGACACCTCGAAAAAGTAGTCCCAAAATACGCGGAACCACCGGTCAACCAGCTCGTCCCCGCTGCTTCAGCTTCCTCTTCGTCGTTCTTGGGGGCGACCATATGTCGACCGCGAATGCGGATGCCGACGGGTGGTTTTTCGTTCACGCCGAGATGGCCCGGTATCTCTTCTTCTTCTCATTCTGCTTCTTTATTGAAACTCGCGGGAATGCTTCAATTCTGAGAAAACACTCCAAACGCACTTTTGCAACTCGCTACTTTAATTACAACTTACTTAAACCTCTGAAAATCCTTATTCTTAGCTAAAATAACGGCATTCAATTTTAACGATGATCTATTGCACAACGATTTTAATATAAAATCACACTCCATTGTATTTTTAATGAACAGCTAACTGAAGTGCCTGATCAATCAAGATGTGATCTGATCAAGTTTTATTGCTTACATTTGTAAAATGTCTAAGCATCATAATCTCCGTTCAAGAAACTTGTATCGTTTAAATAAAAATTTTATTATAGAAATGTCTTTAATACTTGAAATACTTCGAACACTTTTAATACCTGAAAGGCAACTAAACTGTTTAGTGAACCAAAGTGTGGTCGAATTTTGCAGGCTCGAGTTTCGGTGTCTGGGGTCGCAGGATGAGCAAGAAGATAGACTCGTTCCGGCGGGCTGGTTCCCGCGAAACGATCTGCTCCATATCCGAGAAGCCCGACAGCGTGAACAACAACAACAACTGTACCGCAAGCAACAACAACATTTCGAAAGCAGACAAATCACTGCCAGATCTCAAGTTAGACGCTAAAGCAGAAAAGAGAATACCGGGAACGTTTCACCGATCACCGTCACCCTTCAAGTCCTTCTTCATCCGCATGGGTTCCACGGGGATGCTGAATTCCGCGAAGAGCAACCGGCGTTCGCAAAACATCGACGACAGACTGAAAACGATCGAGAAGGAGAATCTGTTCCGAAGTTGCAGCACCAGCCAGTTGAACACCAGTCCGACCTACGTGAAGGGAGACGACCCTTCGGAAGGGATCGACCTACAGATCGCCAGTCGCAAGGACAAAACCGTGTCCTGCGACAATTTGGCTGGTCGTCAAACGGACGACATGTTTGACGAGCATATCAACGATCCTACAGCGTCCCTGTACCCTTTGGGAAACCCTTCGATGAGCAGTTTCAGTCCCTGTGACTTCGACCAGTCGCGAAACGAGTCGTCCATGAGGAAGAGCAGCAGCTGCGACTTCAAGGAGGCCAAGAAATCCAGCTTCCCGTACGCATTCCTCAGGTCCAAACTGTCCGTCCTGCCCGAAGAGCGTCACAGCACGTTCGCGTCGAAAGACGAGCGACTGTTCAAGACCGCGTCCGAGGAGCATTTTCCGACCCTGAAGGTGGAGGACACGTACACCGGCACGACGACGCTGGGACGTCGACGTGCCAGGAACGGTAACATGACCAGAGCTGGGTCCAGCAAGTGTCAGGAGCCTTCGGGGTCCAAGTCCGGAAGGAACTCGTACGCCGAATTTCGCAGGAGCTCCAGCAGGTGCGAGGACAGGTATAGTCTGAACTCTAGCCACCTGGAGAGGATCGACGACAGCTTCCAGCAGGAAGACACCGGCTGCTACGGGTCCTACGATAGTAGTCCCATGTCTCTCCGGGGTAACAGCACCCAACATGACAACACCAGTCAGGATAGAGTGGACTTTACCGGACGAATGAACGATTCCAGATTCTCGGAGACCTCCTCGTTGAACGTGGATATTGACATGGTGGCCACCTTGAGGAACCACAGGCGGAACTCGGCGCCCAGCGGAGAGCAGAGGCTCTCGTCTCACTACGTAAGCTCGAACGAGTCGGGTTACGACAGCGATGGACCCAGAGGAGAGTCCGCGGCCGCCTCCGAGAACGAGGGTCTGAGTCTGAAGTGCACGGACAGCTCGGACACCAGCAGCGTAGTTGATTCCGAACTGGAGAAACCTATCAGAAGCTCCACACCGAGCGAGGACCAGGAGAACGACACTAGGACGAGGAAGAACTCTGAAACGGACGCTGTCAGAGCCGGCAACCCAGAACTGAACGATGGACTCGACGGACTCAGATGGCATCAGAGCAACTCTGGTAGGATGCTGCCTAGCATTCATCAGACTTACGACGATGTGGCGATGAATTCCCAGTTCCCCGTTTGCGGGAACAGTCTGAGTTCTCACAAGTCCCTAGACATCTCGCCGCATCGCATGAGACTGCAGCAGGACAAGAGCAGGTTCCTCAGCGACATCATCCAGCCGCCAAAGAGGGTGAGGAGGTGTCGACTGGTGCAGCTCCACAAAAGGGACCCCAAGGAGAGTCTGGGTATCCGGTTGGCCCAACAACGTTTGGGAGAACTGAGATACATCGTCGTTCAGTTGGAGAGCGACGGAATAGCTCACAGGTAAGTCAAACTATATTCTAGTTGTTCGCCCGAAGAAAACCTCGAGTCGTCTTCTTCAGGGACGGTAGACTGCGACTGGGCGACGAGATCGTGGAGGTCGAAGGCAAGGAACTGAAGACTCTGGAGAGCCTCGAGGAGGTCCAGACATGACCAGAGCTGGGTCCAGCAAGTGTCAGGAGCCTTCGGGGTCCAAGTCCGGAAGGAACTCGTACGCCGAATTTCGCAGGAGCTCCAGCAGGTGCGAGGACAGGTATAGTCTGAACTCTAGCCACCTGGAGAGGATCGACGACAGCTTCCAGCAGGAAGACACCGGCTGCTACGGGTCCTACGATAGTAGTCCCATGTCTCTCCGGGGTAACAGCACCCAACATGACAACACCAGTCAGGATAGAGTGGACTTTACCGGACGAATGAACGATTCCAGATTCTCGGAGACCTCCTCGTTGAACGTGGATATTGACATGGTGGCCACCTTGAGGAACCACAGGCGGAACTCGGCGCCCAGCGGAGAGCAGAGGCTCTCGTCTCACTACGTAAGCTCGAACGAGTCGGGTTACGACAGCGATGGACCCAGAGGAGAGTCCGCGGCCGCCTCCGAGAACGAGGGTCTGAGTCTGAAGTGCACGGACAGCTCGGACACCAGCAGCGTAGTTGATTCCGAACTGGAGAAACCTATCAGAAGCTCCACACCGAGCGAGGACCAGGAGAACGACACTAGGACGAGGAAGAACTCTGAAACGGACGCTGTCAGAGCCGGCAACCCAGAACTGAACGATGGACTCGACGGACTCAGATGGCATCAGAGCAACTCTGGTAGGATGCTGCCTAGCATTCATCAGACTTACGACGATGTGGCGATGAATTCCCAGTTCCCCGTTTGCGGGAACAGTCTGAGTTCTCACAAGTCCCTAGACATCTCGCCGCATCGCATGAGACTGCAGCAGGACAAGAGCAGGTTCCTCAGCGACATCATCCAGCCGCCAAAGAGGGTGAGGAGGTGTCGACTGGTGCAGCTCCACAAAAGGGACCCCAAGGAGAGTCTGGGTATCCGGTTGGCCCAACAACGTTTGGGAGAACTGAGATACATCGTCGTTCAGTTGGAGAGCGACGGAATAGCTCACAGGTAAGTCAAACTATATTCTAGTTGTTCGCCCGAAGAAAACCTCGAGTCGTCTTCTTCAGGGACGGTAGACTGCGACTGGGCGACGAGATCGTGGAGGTCGAAGGCAAGGAACTGAAGACTCTGGAGAGCCTCGAGGAGGTCCAGGACTTCCTCAGGTCCTTCACGGGTAACAAGATACGTTTGATGACCGCGTACGAGGAGACGGTGCCGCAGGTGTACGTCAGCCCACCGACGTTGCCCGGCGAGTACGAGTACCTGGAAAACGCGAAGAACCTTTCCAACCTGTCGTTGATCGACAGCGAATCGAAGCAGCTGGAACAATCCGGCAACAAAGTGAACGATGGAGTTCAATCGAAGAGGCCGGACTTTCTGCCACTTTCTTGCTTGTCCAAGGAAAGAAAAGGCGCTGAGAGCAATCTGGAATCGACGACGGAACCGCAACATTATCTGACGAGGCACATCGCTAAATTCGAGAAGGGATACGGGAAACCTAGCCTCGGGTTCAGCGTCGTGGGCGGCAGAGACAGCCCTCGCGGAGAAATGGGCATCTTCGTCAGGAGGGTCTTTCCTGGCGGACAGGCGGACGTCTCGAAGTCGCTGTTTCAAGGTAAAACTTCTCTCTTTAAGTTCTACATTTTTCTAACTTATGAATATTCGATCTTTTGAATTTGTGGATCAAGTTCTGAATCCTTAAAGTCAGATTAGCAAGTCGTCAGTTCTCTGTGCTGAGTTAGTGGATCAATAGGATCTTGTCTAAATTGGTGGGACGTGCAGCGGAAGCTAAATTCCTCGAAGTGCACATTTATCAAACTCAGCAAGTTATTAACCGGTTAAACTGAACCGTATGATCTCATCAAGCTTAATCGAAAGGATCGATGCACCTAACTGATCTCAGTGGGATCTAATCGAGGACTCCTTTTACCTTTATTCCTTTTACGGCGTGGACGTATCTGGCACGTAATCTCACGTTACCATTCCACCGATACGATGACGCAATCGAACGCGAATCGTGCAAGGATCTCGAGCTACGTCGACATAGTTCACTATTTCAGGATCAAGCTGTGTACCTGGCCGCGAACGTGGAAGGAGAAGATCGATGCGTCACGTACGGGTCGTTGTCGTTCGTGCATTCACACCGTGGTCGCATGCGACACATCTCGAATCTTTAATCCGAAGCCTAACGTCGCTTGCATTTCTAAACAGCCGAGACATCTCCACCTTTTTCGCTTCCTCTCGCTTACGCCTCACGACGTTTTTTTCTTCTTCTTCAAGCATGACCGCCTATCCTTCTTTTCCCGCCTTTTGTAACAACTCGCATGCCACTGGACTTGGCTCGTCAACCTCTGAACGCTTTGTCACCGCGATCTTTTCTAGCGTTTTCACGACCTACGCTGTCAACGCTCCAGCTGAACGGAATTCACGCTACGAGCTCGCTTCGTGGATCGTTTGAACAGGTATAAAGAGAAGAGGTCTGATCACGGACAGAAATTTTAATGAACTTTGTGGAGTTGCTGGAAAGGTCTCAAAGGATTTCGTTTAACTCTTCAGGGATGATTCTTTGGGGAAATGGGGTCAGGATGCTTTAACGAGGATAGAAGTGGAAATGAACTTTTTACTGTGGTTGTGTTTACATCTTCAAGTCTTTATTGTCATGTTGTCACTTTGAATATTCTTCATATTGTCAAATTGTAAATAAAATTTTTCATTCCCAACTTTCAAAACTTACAAATCTCCAAATTTCTAAACCATTTGATAATTTACAACTGTTCAAAAGGGCACATAGCAGTTTAAATTAAAAAAGTGCAATTGTTTTCAAATTCTAATATTTGCACCACTTCTCACGCCACATGAACCGACCTCTTTCTATATTACCAATTGCTATTGTTCTATCCGTAGCAATATAACAAGAGTCAATTGCATTAATCAGAACTAATCACCGATTTAACACATCCTTCAATAACGTTTCAAATAATACCCACGTCTGCCCCGAGCTGCATAATCTCTAGCGACGACTATGAATTCATTATCATATATTATCATACAAATCATAATTAGATCCCCAAATTCTTGCATTTCTACGTTTCTGAACTGACAGATCCCTAAATTCCTGCACATCAACACACACCTGTGTCCTTATATTTTCAGATCCCTAAATTCCTATGCCCCCAAATTCCTATGTCCCTAACTTCGTATGTCCTCAAATTCTTATATCCCGAAATTACCATGTCCCCAAACTCCTGTGCCCCCAAATACCTAACTCCCCTAAATTTCAAATTCCCAAATTCCCAAATTTGTGGATTCCTATATCCCTATATCCCTATAAGTTCCTACATCTACAAAATATGAATGTCTTCGAATGCAAAAATCTCCAAGTCCCCACGTCCCTAAATTCGTGGAAAGAAGCGATCGCAGCGCAAACAGGAAGAACGATCGCGGACATTAACGTCGAATCGAATTTCGCTTGCACGCGTGTCAGGCCATCTCCTACGCGATTTTTGCGAGGCTCCCGTCGCGGTAGGCGGCAACACGTTATATAGGAAGGTTTCACGCAACACGTTTCGAGTTTCAACCGATCCACGTTGCTTTTTACGAGCACGCGAACGAACGTCCGCGGTTTCCTCGTGCCACTGCACCCTGCCGCATGCTTGCATAACGGATCGTCGCGAGTTTCGGTTGCATAAGTACAGGATCGATGCATCTCTCCAACTGCTCGCTGAAAAGCTGCATCATACACCCTAGATGCGATCGAAATGCTTCATGCTGTTTTATTAACTTTCTATAATTAATTAACATTTCAAAATTAATGAGATTTATTGGAAAATATGAAAGTTTAGGGATTTCTGAAAATTTTACATTCTTGGATTATTGATTTTTCGTGTCCCAAAGTTTTGTCAGTTTTTAGGTAGGTAGTTAGCTTATTAGATAATTAGATCTTTAAATTCGTAGGTTTTGTAATTCCTGTTCAGGTAGATTTTTAATTTTTCATACGCGTAGATTCAACAATTCTTATATCTCTATTGTCATCAATATCACATCGCGTTCACTTCTTGCTACTTTGTAATTATTGTCATAATTGAAAAAAATATAAAAATGTTCTTTAACGTCTACCAACACGAAATTTTGCATTTTGTTTTTCAGGTGACGAAATTGTAAGCTTGAACGGAAAAGTGTTGCGTGGTTACACGCATCAGGAAGTGATCGAACTGTTTAAGGCTGTAAGGGAAGGTCCTGTTGAGCTGGAAATTACTAGGAGACATAGGTATCTGTCATGATTATTCTTCTAAATAATTAGCTATAATCTACTATCAAATAAATGTTCGCTAAATAAAATATATGATATGATTTGTTTCAGGTATCCAAAAAATCAACAAAAATCCGCGCCATGCTGAACGGTAGGCGTCGTGGACGAATCTGCCCACCGGAAGTGCTCTTTCGAATCAATTCTAAGCGACCTAATCGCTGCCAACGAAGTTTTAGGATTCTAGTCTATCTGAACGAATCTACGATCTTTGATGATGTTTGTTTCGATTAATTTATTTAACGCGGTGTCGCGGTTGCATAGTGAATAAGTTTATTATCAAATGTTTATTATTGACACTATAATTATGATTATTATATTATATTATATTATTATATTATGACTATAAGATTTTATACGAATACGTTATAGCAGCGTGAAAATTCACTGTATGCGATTTCTTTTTATTATTATTATTATTATAGAGGACAATAAAGAGGTCGTAATTTTAAGGTGCTTTTAAAGATCTGCTTTTGCAAGAACGTTATCTGAAACAGTTATTAAATAATAATTTTATTTCAATGAAATTTTACAAATTTACAGTATGTACAGGTCCCGAAATCATTTTTTACAACGGTAATGGAGTTCTCTTCTGCTTTATACAATCTTCTTGTACAATGTTGCTTCACGCGTCGACGAGCAAGAGGTCTGCGCACGACTTAGCCTTCGTTGTTCTGAAACATATTGTCAAATGTTACTGCAGTTCTCTGCATTTTTATATCTTTTTTATGACATAGTTGACACATATTCTGCTGGTTATATCACAAATGAAACTCCCAGAAAAAAGCAAAGCGTTTCATTTCAAAAAATTGCACATTTGAAAGAGTCATTGAATAACCAGCATAATTTATGTCACTGAATTTTGTAAAATTTTTACTTCGATTTTACGTTCAATTTTACAGACTGTCTCTGATACAGTGGTGGGCAATTTCCAAATTTGAAAATCCGATACCTCAAATGATTTTACATTTGAATGTTTCTTGTTTATCAAAATTTAAACTCGATCTGCCCATCACTGCTTTATATACCGATTTTACTAATAAATAATTAGAGTTAAATCTGACAGACCGATAACAATTGTAGATCGCAGTCTATTAGAGTACAATTCTACTATACTCACTGTAGTTCCTTGTTTTTAATGCGTCTGCAAAGATGTAAGGCAACCGGTCCGGTTTTAATATTACGGAAAAGCTGGACAGCTTTTCTGTGCGTCAAGTCGTGACAAACGTGGCCATTCACTGCCAAAATCTCGTCCCCTGCACGCAAACGGCCATCTTCCGCGGCTTGCCCCCCGGGCAATACCGATTTAATAAAGATACCTGTAAACACGACACGCTAAAAGATTCTGTCAACGAATAGACTTCGCAGTCCAAGTACAACGACATAGTATTAACAAATTGTTTAATAGTATTAACGATAGTGTTTATATCATAGCAAGCATATGTTATCTACGTAGCACGTAAGAGACGAAAGAATTTCACTTGTTACTAAAATCTTTATACAAAAATTTATTGGTTCAATATACTGGTTCATATTCATGTTGTACGAAGATACTCAATACACTACGAATACTCCTCGCTTGTTCACATTTAAATTAGCAAAGAATCAAGACAAAAAACCACAAACGCTGTTTAGAGAGATGCGAATGTTATCGATCAAATAAATCCTGCCATTTCTATAAAACTCACCGATGCTCCCTTTAGGACTATCGCTCCCCCCCACGATGGTGAAGCCCAGAGACTTCTTTCCAGGACCCTTCTGGAACACCACCGTCATGAACGTGGAGACGGTGCTCCTCGGCCTCCTGGGCAACGTGCAAAAATTCGAAACACTCTGCGACCCATTATCCACATTCACCACACTCTTCTCCGAGGAGTTGGACCTATTACACTCGTTCCTCTTATCACGATGTTTGCTCTGACGCTTCCTGAACCGCGATCTGGGTGAATTCTCCAAGATAGTCCCATGTCCGTTCTCCATATGGACGTTCTCATAATCGACGCTGCTCTCCGTCAGCTTCTTCTGGGTCTGATCCATAGCAGTATACCTGGAGACCACGATGTCGACGTCACCGGGTCCGCTACCGCTGCCAAGGATCCTCCTAGCCTCCACCATGCTCAGCCCCCGCAGTCTTTTACCGTTTACGATCAGGATCTCGTCCCCTATCCTCAAGGTACCTTCCTTATCCGCCAGACCATTAGGCACCACGTGTGCCACCAGGTATCCTGGACTCGACTCCGCCGTTTTAGCGATGAAAATCCCTAAACACTGATCAGAGCTCTCCCTAGGCAGCTTGACGACCATCGTCTCAGTAGCATAGGACCTATTCCTGACCACGGGTAATCTGGCGCTCTCAGATCCCACAGATTCGCTGTTGAGTCTCTCCATGACGTCCTTCCTGTCCGGCGATTTGTCCTCGCGGTTGATCAGCTCGTTGTTCGCAGCCTGGCAGATCTGGCTGGAGGAGTCCTCGAGAGCACTCACCCTGGACATGTCCCTCCTGCAGCCCCTGCCCTCGTTCCTGCTGCAGTACATATCCAAACTGGAGAACAGCCTGGCGGTCCTCTCGACGTCCACGATGGAAGACGAAGGCTTCCTAGGTGGCAGCTGTGGCGGTGAGCTCAAGGACGAGTCGTTGAGACCCGTCAATAACCCGGAAGCACTACTGCTGCATCTGTCGTCGAGCAGGGAGCTGGTGGCCGAGTCGTTGTCCAGGATTCCGGAGTCGTTGTCGTCCTGGTCCTGCTCCTCGTACAGCGGGTTCGTTCTGAGCTCCTCGAGACCCGGCAAGGTCCCGTACGAGAAGCTCCTCAGTCTTCGTCGCTCTCTGTCCTTCGCGTCCTTCTTGTAGATCTTGGCGATCAGCTTGCTGGTGGAGCTCTTCAAGTACCTGTCCTGCATCGCGCGGAACTTGGCCGCCAAGCAGCTGGACGGCGTTATGCTGTCGAACTGAGTGCCGTCCTTGAACGCAGGCTCCTCCACGCTGGTGGACACCTCAGGGTCCACGGACCTCGAGGTTTGCTCCGGGACGAGCTCTTTGCTCTTCCTCCACTTGCGGTTTTGGGGATCGCTGTTTTCAATGATGCGGTCTTTTGGCAAAGCCTTCTGACCGGGAGGAGGACGAAAGCCCAAGAAAGAGAAACGATCTTCTTGGTGCTTTCTGTAAGGTAGCCTACTCTGAGACTTTGAACGCTTTTTCCTTTTAGCTTGAGTCTTCTCCTCCTCAATGATGTCTTTCAGATCCGACTCGCAGACAGACCTACGGAACTCGTTTCTGGTGAGGCCATGTTGGTCCAACTCGCACATGGAACGGAACTGCAGCTTCTCAGGATCCTCCTCGTCCTCCTCTTCGTCTTCCTGTTCGTCGTCGTCGGAGTCGCGGTCCTTGAAGAAGCTCAACCTGGTGTTCTTTACGCGGTCGAGAAGAGGATTGCGTTTCTCGCAAATTCTTCGTCTCTCTTCTTGGATTCTTTTCTTGTCTTTCTTGGTGGGGGTCCGCTCGGTCGTCACTTGCGATGTCTGCACGTTGTAGCAGTTCCGCTCCGACTCGGAACTTGACGACTTCCGGCGAGCCCATCGCACGGGGGACATGTCTGCAATAATTATGATTTATTAGCAATTTTATTGGCGCTGTACTTATTAACATTTTCTTAGTTAAAAATTAACGCAATTATTATATGCAATGATGTACGAAATTGTTATGTATAAATGTACACAAAATTATCACGTACTATTATGTACAAAATTATTGTATAATGTACAAGGTGACTTGATAACAATTATTATTTAAAATAACTCAGCACTCGGTTATGAAGGAGAACATTTTTAATTCTTTCATAAAATATGTTTGATTATTATTTATGTATTATGTATGTAATGTGTACACATATGTACGAAATGTATCACTGATTTAAATGTACACTAATTTTTAAGTACATGTATTAATTTTTAAAAATAACTTCTGAAAAAATCAAGACAATGTATCCTCTATTTTCTGTCATTGAGTAAAAGGTGACCTTGAAAAAACTCGATCAAGAACACATTTACTACCTCAGAAAATAATATAAAAATAATTAGATTCGTCCAATAAATCTCTTCGTACCATAATGTATTTAAACCGTTTATTAATTCAATTAGGTTCCGAACTTAAATACATCCTGATGCAATTAGAGATCCTGCATTCTGATTAAAGACATCCTGATACAATTACAGACCCTGATTAAGGATCTCAGAACCGATCTCGATTGCACTTAGATTCTGATAAAATCACGTCTAGTTAGCGAGTTATTTTAGATAATAATTTTCACTCACTCTGTACACCGTCTTACACATTTCACTGACACACAAAGTCGAACGAATTGATTTACGAAGAAAGGAATCGTAAAAGTAATTACGTTTGAGGAAGCGTTGAATGCAAATGGGATTCGCATGATCGCGGTACAAAAATCTGTCGCACCAAACGTTCATGAAGCGAAAGTCCGTCGAGCAATGACGAGAAGAAAATGATGATCTTCCTCGAAGCATGACATTATATGAACAACGACGGAGTCTCGAGACGGCAGGATGTGTGTAAGCCAGGACATCCCGTATGAGCAATTTACTTACGTGAGTATGTTGCTCGAGTGATAGTGAAAAGAGTCGCACGAAGAAGCGGAAGTCGAGGAAGCGAATCGGAAGTAACGGCCTACGTGAATTTCTTTGAGAATATATCGAATATGTTTTCTAACTTTCGAACACGTGTATACATAGTATTGTCTCTCGAGTACTTGCAAATTTTTGCTGGGAATTTATTTTGGAAGAGAAACGTTTGATTCCTTTTAGAGACTGTTTTTCGTGAACATAGTGAAAGTATTTTGAAAATAATATTTTGGGCCTTGTAATAATAAATTTCTTTGTTTATTAATAATTCGGTGTGAATTCCTCTGTGGCAACTTTTGTCAAATTAAAGAAATTTGACGTTTGTATTTTACTGTTTGATCTAATGTAGAAATGTTGCAAATTTATTTTTAATGTTTTTGACAACGGGGGTTTAAGGATTTAAGGATACTTTGTATGCTTGAAGTAAATAGTTGCTTCATTTATTTGCGCAACTGGGGATATTTATGCAAATGCGTATTTTGTATGCTGCATGTTATTTACATAATTTGTGTGAGACGCAGATGAGTGAATATTTTGTTTAATAATTTCCTGCATATTTTACATATTTATCCCCTGTTGGCAATTTTCTTTGTAAATTTGTAGATAATAAATTTTTATAAAAATTTATGAATAAAGTACGTACGTTATAATTAGTTAATTAGTTTATAACCAACGATCAGTTTATAAATCCCTTCATAAATAAAAAATTTAATTAAAATCAACCCTTTTAGTAAAACCCTTTGCTAATACAATAGTCTTCTCTACGAATATTTTCCAAATAAAAAGAAAAATTCCTCAAATTTTTGAAAGGAATTCTTACAAGTATTTTTAAAAATAGTTTCAATGAATTTTAAATAATATTCGAGTGAAAGTGTTTCTCGTAAATATCTGCTGTTTTTAACGATACGAAAGTAACATTTTTTATTTGCTAGTAAATATTACGTGAGAATTAGAGCGAGTGACACAATTGTCATAAAAATATGAGACCCAGGTCAACGTTTCGTGGTATTTAACGTTTCGCACCAAAAACCGCAGGGATGTCGTAATCGTTCATAGAAATGCGTTGACTAACATTGTGGTTTTCCGGTGAAGGTGTTCTGTTGGCACTTCGTGTTCTCTAAGATAACCGAGTGTTATCATGAAGCATCACGAAGTGACAATTTTAGTTATGGTTAGATTAATAAGTAAGAAAAGTAAGTACTGAGGGAGATGCAATAGAAGTTTACTACTGGTTTCATTGCGGATCATATTTTTTAAAGATGTAGAGTCTGATAATTATGTAATTTTGTAATTTTGTAATTTTGTAATTCTGAAGTTTCAAATTTGCAAAATTCAGAATTGTAAAGTTATAATAGCAATAACTTTTATAATAGCAAAATTAAAAATTTGAAAAATTCTAAAATGTCTCAAGGTTCCAAAGCTTCAAAATTTAAAAATTCTAAAATCCTTAAAACTCCTAAAATTTCTAAAGTTCCTAAAATTCCTAAAATTCCTAAAATTCTTAAAACTCCTAAAATTCCTAAAATTCCTAAAATTTCTAAAATTCCTAAAATTCCTAAAATTCCTAAAGTTCTATAATAATCTATAAAGCAATTTTATAAAGTACCAGTTTATTAAACCTTGCAGCTTGTTTGTCACGGTTGTTGCTGAGTTCATCGCGACGAATCTTTTTCTGTCGTATCGTAGACCACCATGATTTATCTGCAAAAACGGACTCTCACGGAGTCAACGAGGCTTCGCGAAGTTTCTTCGCTTTCGAAAGCGTATTTAATGAAATGATGATCGGAGAGATTCTGAACGATTAGTTACACGACTCGCAAAAATAATCGTCAACACAATTCTCTAAAGTTCACATAATATCGTAATTTTAAATTCATGAACTCTGCAAAGAATCATTCGAATTCATAAATAAAAAGATATGAAACTAAAATTATATTTCTCTGTAGTCTTTCACTTTTAAAATTCACTTTTACGCTTTAGAGAAACTTTAGCAAGATTTATTTCATAATTTAACATAGTATTTTATACTATTTATTAATAATAATCTATTAATAATATAATAAAGTATATTGCAGTAGTATTAATAATTATATTATTAAATACAGTAAATGACTCTTTCATGTCACATCCATCTCGTGTATACATATATTGAATTTAAAACACGTTCGATTCAACATCTATTTGTATTCACTCTGTGTACATTACCATACTATAAATTTAATTATGATAAAAGACTACACTACTTCTTCATTAAACTCTACGTTTTTGACCTTAACACGTTACTTATAAATATAAAACCAGTTTTTATTATAATTATGATCATACAGTTACATGCAGTATACAGTTACACACACAATTTCTACATATGTAAATATGCAGTTGTACACGTTACAGGAAGTGCACACTGCAAGAACATATGAATAAAAAATTCAGAACTCAATGAAAAAGAGTGTCCTTTTTAACCTCTTGCTGTACAATGCATTTGCCAGATGCCTCTGTCATAGTTAGTTAGTTATTCTTTACTGTAATGTTAAAACAAGTAAAGAAAATTAAAATGTTGAGTATTTTATATTCAGCGATCCTTAATTACACAAATTATTGTTGGATCTGAATTTTAGGTTGAAGAGTATTAAAAATTTGAGTAAGATTTGAGTTCTACAGAGTCATTCTGAAAGTCACATTTGAGGTCTAAGTGCGTCACCAGTGAGGGTGAATTCGTCAAAGGCAAGGGGTTAACCTACTGTCTCCTCAAACCTTAAATTTCCCCGTTAAAAAATATTTACTATCTATTTTTAATTTAGCAAATTTCTGCAGTTGTCTTTTTCTTGAGAAGAGCTCATTTTTAGATAGGAAGTGTCGAAAGTGGCGTCTGAGGATCTCTTCAGGGTTTCACGTAACGGTTCGAGGTACTCTCGTAGGGTTAATCGTTGTCAGAACGTCGGATCGTAACTTGTCTCATGAAAGTTCACGGCATCCTGTTCTTTTTTTACCACAGTGTGGCAATTGTATCGGTGGATTCTCACGATTCTTACCTCTGTACCGAGACGTCGCATGAAAGTGGTAAGATGCTCCGTCAAGGTCTTCATCGGCTTGAAGAGGACTTAGGCTTAAGAGTCTCGGCGCCTCGGCGTGGCCGCGAAACCAACGCATTTCTAAAACAAAGAAAATGCATTATTAATAACAATCTTATCGAAACTCTTTCAATTTTCAGTGCAATTTATAAAGCTATTTCATTCGCAAGTTTCAAAAGCGCAAGTTTAAAAAGAGGAAAGAAAGAGTTAAGAGGAAGTTGTATACAGAGGAAGATCTGGTGAAAGGTCAATTTTATTTTATCGTCAAATTTTTGTGTTACACTGCAATTCATATTAATATTTATTTTGTTGTATATACATGTAATAAATTTAGATATTTTTGGAGGAGTTTAGACATTTGGGGGAGTAGAAGTTTTGTAATTCATCATTTTAAGGATTTGGTGAATGAGAGGCTTGTAAATTGACAAAAGATAAAATTTGTAAAAGATGTAGAAATGAAAGTATTTAGAAATTTAATTCAGGGATTTGATCATTTGGGTATTGATAGTTTGGAACTTTACTGATTTATGAATTTAGAGATTCAGAAATTTATAAACCTTGTAGTTTGATCATTTACAAAAAGAAGTTTGCAAACATTGAAACTGGAAAATTAGAAATTCATCAACTCAGTGATTTGACAATTTGGGTAGCAATAGTTTTGGACTTTACTGATTTATGAATTTAGAGATTCAGAAGTTTATAAACCTTGTAGTGTGATGATTTACAAAAAGAAGTTTGCAAACATCTAAATTGGCAAATTAGAAATTTATCAGCTAAGGATTTGACCATTTGGGTAGTAATAGTTTTGGACTTTACTGATTTATGATTTTAGAGATTCAGAAATTTATAAACCTTGCAGTTCGATCATTTCCAAAAAGAAGTTTGCAAACATCGAAATCTGACAATTTAGAAAAACATCAATTTAAGCATTTTATAACTAAAGTATTGATATCTCAAGTTCCTTAATGAACGTAAAAATTCATAAATGTCTACATCTTGAGATGCGATCATTTCAAATTTATACAAATTCACGAATTGTCCCAATTAAGTGTCATAAAACGATTAAAAACAGACAAACGATCTTGTCAGAGATACCTCGTGCCCGCTCGTTAAAATCTCTGGCGCCAGGCGCTGTTAAATACAGAATCGAGTAGAGGTAAAAAATGTTTGAGTATCACGAGGAAATTTTCCGTTCCCCGTGTTGGATACCGTTGGCAGCCAACTGTCGGCAATAAACCCATCTTTTTTTCATTCGCGGATCCACTGGACGATCCTCCGGGACTCAGTCAGACGGAATCCTCGCGGAGAGGCGTTACCGTTCATCTGCTTCGCTCAGAAACCGTAATTTAACCACCTCGTGCTCGCTGAAACCCGGCGATATAATAGCCTCGAATTTAACGGTTTCTACGAGTCCTTCCATGGCAAATCATGCTTTTTCCGCGTCATAGTTTCTGTTCAACGGAACGACGAATTTCGAGCACGATTATCCTGTCCATTGCAAATATCGTTATTTATTTCTTCTTCGACGGTGGATGATTGCCGATCGTGATCAGCAACCTGCTCTTCTTTCTGCCCTATTTCATCAACGGTAATTTTAGTACAGTCGAGAGAAAATGTAGATAGCTCGGTATAAACATAGCAAACTTTATTTACTTGTAGAGTTAGAATTTTCATGACTTTTTTTGGGAACTTGATGATCTAAAAATTAGTCAAAAACTCTTGATGAAGACCACCATATTACGCAGCAAGAACTCCTTGCAAGAACTACTTGATTTACAAAGCAAATGTAAAGTTTACTGGCTTGTTGTATTAATACAAGAAGAAATGTATGTATTATACAGTGTCTAACTACGTTTATAAAATTCAGTTTCTAAAATTAGTCAAAAATTCTTCATGAACATCTCTATATTGTGCAGCAAGAACTACTTGCTTTATAAAGCAAATGCAAAGCTTTCTGGCTTGTATTAATACAAGAAAAAATGTATGTATTATACAATGTCTAACTACGTTTATAAAATTCAGTTTCTAAAATTAGTTAAAAACTCTTCATGAACATCTCTATATTGCGCAGCAAGAACTACTTGCTTTATAAAGCAAATGCAAAGTTTACTGGCTTGTTGTATTAATACAAGAAAAAATGTTTGTATTACACAATTTTTAATTACGTTTATAAAATTCAATTTAAACTTCAACTTCATACTAAATTTAATATCATTAATTTTAGTGAAATTAAATTTGTAAATTGTTTAAATTAAAGCTTCAAAAAGACAGAACTATAATAATCTGTTTATGGGTGAAATAGTTTTTATTTTGAAGTGTGGTGCTTCTGTAAAGGAAGTTTAAAAATTGTATACGATTGTGGAAATGCACGATGTGCTACTTGATACAAGGATTTCTTACTTATGAAGGTTTAATATGATGATGTATTGAAAACACTTTAACAGTACATGGAATTCTTTAGCGAGCCGTAACGATTCGTTAACCTCGGGGAATTTAAGAAAATGCGAAACGCGTTGGCAATGGAGTCTCGATATTTGCTCGTACTTTCGTAAACACGTTGGAAATAGGTTGACGGTGTATTAGAGTTCTTAACGAGCTACTCGATAGACACTTCGAATACAATGGAAACCTGCGCTTAGATCGGTTTAATTGGAACGTGAAGCATATGTAGTTTAAGAGAACAGATTTTGTAATATTGTAATTTGTAGTTGGTAATTAGAAACTCGTTCAATGTCATTTGATTTCTATATTGAAATATCTGGTTTAAATTTAAACAATGGAGGCACTTGGGTTTGAGTTATATTTGCTGCTAGAATTTTTAAGTAAGGAATTTCTATCTTATTTGAATTCATGTGAAGTACTATGTATTATTAGTGAGAATTCGGTCGGTAAAAATTAGATTTTGATCAGCGCCATCTAGCGGATGTTTCCCAAACCTTGCTCCTGGTAGCAGGATCGCAGAAAAGCGAGGAGGTATACGGAGTATCAGGAGGCTTCCCGCGCGATCACCGCGCATGCGCACCACAGCTCGCGCCGCAACATGGCGTCCTCCGCAACACATCGAATTATTAATTAATCACTCGTTTTCTATGTATAATTTCTACACTTTCACGATTCAAAAATGTAACTCAACTCAATTTCATCTTCCTTGTACATAATTCATTAATAAATTTACGTTGTAATATCATTAATATAATCCGATACTAATGATTATTAATAACTAATTTCATTCGAAGAATATATTAACAAATAATGTATGAGAAAATAGATTACGAATTGTAGATCATTCTTCAGTCATAAAAGTATACAAATTGTGCATCGGAAATTAGCAATTAATTTTTTTACGCAAATAGTTTTACTTGTGAGACGCCACGTTAGAGAGGGGGCTCAGCCATGTTGGAGAGGGGGCGCAACGCTGTTGGGGAGGGGAGTCAGCCATGTTGGATGTAGCTGCGCGCGCATGCACGCTGGTCGCACGGGACACCTCCTATTACTCCGAATACCTCTTCGCTTTTCTGCGATCCTGCTACCAGGAGCAGGGTAAAAACACCAAACGCTAGATGGCGCTGATCGAATTTTAATTTTTACCGACCGATTCATAGATAGAATACAAGAATATTATGAATATTAAGAATATTAAGAACACACAGAATTACTACATAAATTCCTTTCCTAAATTGCTAGAATTCCAAATGGAATATCTTCTATTTAGATATTTAGAATTAACATCTTAATACTATTTAAATTTTGAAATTATGAAATCTTTGAATTATTACAATTTTAAATATAGAATATAAATATAGAATATATAAATATTTATATTTAATATAAATATTAAATATAGAATATAAAATATTGAATATAAAATATAGAATATAAAATATAAAATATAAAATATAAAATATAAAATATAAAATATAAAATATAAAATATAAAATATAAAATATAAAATATAAAATATAAAATATAAAATATAAAATATAAAATATAAAATATAAAATATAAAATATAAAATATAAAATATAAAATATAAAATATAAAATATAAAATATAAAATATAAAATATAAAATATAAAATATAAAATATAAAATATAAAATATAAAATATAAAATATAAAATATAAAATATAAAATATAAAATATAAAATATAAAATATAAAATATAAAATATAAAATATAAAATATAAAATATAAAATATAAAATATAAAATATAAAATATAAAATATAAAATATAAAATATAAAATATAAAATATAAAATATAAAATATAAAATATAAAATATAAAATATAAAATATAAAATATAAAATATAAAATATAAAATATAAAATATAAAATATATGAAATATCTGTATGCTGAAATTTCACCATTAACAAATTTCTAAAACTTTATATATCCAAATTTCTAAATTTCTTCACCCTCAAATTCCAATACATCTAAATATCCAAACCACTAAATTTCACCATCCCCAAAGAACAAATATCCCAAATACAACCCGAGTTTCTCCAAACAGTCAAATTTTCCTCAAGAAAGCGATATTTGCTCGCGACTGTACCTCCAGCGATACAACGCAACAGTATTCTTCTGTACTCCGAAGCATCGAACAGCAAGAAAACAATCGAACCGTGATCTCTCGATTTCCCATCGTGAGATTCGAAGTCTCGCGTTACGTGTCGAGCGTGGAAAGCAACATCTGTGACGCGAAGAATCCCGTTTCCACGAGCCGGTCGCATAATGGAGATGATTAATACATCGTGGCTCGGTTATGCAAGGTGTTAATGCATCGATTATGTACGTACACGCAGTCGCGAGCGCATCGCGAACAGAAGACGAAGAAGAAGAAGAAGAAGAAGAGGAAGAGAAGGGAGACGACTTTCTCTGATGCAAATATGTGTGCCAACGGCACATTTCCGACGACGAGCTCCCACGATGTCCGCTTTTCACTTTTCATTCAGACGACCGCCGGCCATCAAGGTGGATCCCTGCTGAATCGGGGTCCACGATCAAGGATGCACGACATGGAAGTTCAGGGTCGTGAACTCTTCTCTCTGCTTTTAGGACTGACTCGTCACGCTGGAACT